ATTTGTTTTTGGCTACATTAAAGCATTTTTTTGAAAATATACAGTAAGGTTCCATATTACCACCCGATTTTCTCTAAGCCTACTTTCGGACTTTTTGTACAAAAGCCTTCAAAAACCATACTTATAATTACACTAGCGAAAAATCCAATTAGGAACATTTAGTTTACTAGTTACCGGCACTTTTCGCATAAAATCTGTGGGTGTAGTTATGATACCTTGTTTACAATTCACTAAAATGTAATTGGGGTTCCATAATACCACCTTCTCCTCTATATTTTAATTTATATGAATGTTTAACGAAATAATATACAGCCTATGTCCACCCTGAAAGTTCATTTTAAATATTGGTGAAAGAATTTTTAAAATCGGATGAATAATTTCGAAGATTACCTCTTACATCCAAACTTACATACAGTATTTTACTTTATTACTTTAATCTTTATGAAGGATGTTTATATTGAATATTTCATTAAATAATAGAAAAAAATGTTTTATTTAATTATCTTTTACAGAATAACAAATTACGAAATGACAACATCTATGTCTCTTTGGCCTTCTCCCGAAGAATTTCAGGTAATAACAATTTTTTATTTATGTAATAGAAAAAATTTCATTCAAATTTTAAAAAAAAATGTGTTTTATTTACAGTACAATTATCAATATTATGGATTTAACTATTCTTCATTCCGGTAAGCAACTTTTTATGATAATTTCATATAGTTTTATTTTAATGGAAGAAGTCTATAATGATAGTTTGCAATATATCTTTAGGAATACGTATGCTAAATTGAATGTATATTATGCCACTTTAGAAGAAACTATTTATGCCCAAAGACCAGTTTACCAGGTAGAGATTATTCAATAATTACTTATAATTTGAAAAATTTTGCATTTATACTCTTATTTTAATATTTTCTTGAAATCTTTCTAGAATAACGAATGGTACAGTCATTTGGGAGGACAGCTTGGCCTGTGGTTAGGAATCTCCCTTCCAGCAATTTTCGATTGTATTGAAACTATAGTGTTATTAATTCATCATGCCATTATAAAATATATAACCAAGAATTAAGAAAGAATTAGTAGCTACCGAAGTAGCCAGTTGGCTTTCCAAAAATAAAGAAATTAAGAACGAATTACTAGACACAGCGTTATTGGAATATCTTCAATGCCACCCGGATTTAGTTGAACAACATATTAAAGGAAACATTAAAAAATATAAGAAATTTCTGAACAACAGGGATGAATCTACATTACGATCTTCGCCACTGGATAATACGAGTGTTTCATTAAAAACTAATCTGTTGACTTTGATCAAACAACAGGACCTCCAATCAGCTCTTCTAAATGTGTCTTATATACTTAATGCAGCTGTAAATGCGGACAGTGTAAAAGTTTCATTAATAGATAAAAGTATCTTTAATCCAAACACAGAATACGAAATATTTCGAGGAAGAAGAACGATTAGGTTTTATTTAGTGTCAAGTCAATATCGTAACTATGAATAGGTTAAATAAAAGTCTGCCATTTTCAACCATAGAGCAAGAAATTGCTACATTTTTAATAAATAGTGTTAATTCGTGTTTAAATTTGTATAGAAGAAATAAAGAACAAATCAACAATGAAAACATAAAACAAATGACAGCTTTGCTGAGTGATAAAGAATTGACTCGTAGTATTATTATAAAGATTTTGAAACAGATTCGAGAGATGATATCAGCCAATCAAGCCAATTTATACGTGGCAAACGATAAAAGAAACGAATTTATTTCAGAGTATTTTGACTTNATTAATTTGTGATTAGTTATAGAATTTATAACGAGTTTAATAGTTTTACATAATGTAATTCAATTTATTAAACTATAACAATTAGTATTCATTTCTCTTTGATGATTTCAGTTTAGAAAATTTACATCTCAGTGTGACGCAGTTGAGCAAAAGTCCAGAAATGAAAATAACCAAAATGATTTCTATAATACGTACTTTTCATTGAACAAAACGGTCAGAGGATCCCTTGGACATCAAAAAGAAAACTTCATTATGTCTTCGTCTTTTAACGTCAAACAGATTTCTTTATTTGAGTAATTAATTGGTCGCATTGCCTTATAATTTGTCTTTAACACAGCGGGACGAGCATACCAATGACATAAGCCGTTTCATTTGAAGCAGATTAAGTCATTAGTTTACTTATCTAGCCGTATTAAACAGACTTTACCAAGCAACAAACTCATTGCTTTCCATTTTTATGCAAACATATATAAATTGTATGAAGAGAATTTAACGATATTATTCTATTTATAAGTAAAAATCAGCAAATAATTTTTGTAATCGTTAATTATTATTATTATTATTATTTTAAATAAAATACAGTTCGATTGTAAAGTCCCTTCGCAGTGGGTGGGTGAGCTTTCATTAATGAATTAATGACGTCATAGCAGATCATGCATAGAAAGAATTAAAGTAGGTTGTGACATTACCATTGGGCCAAGTCTCACGGGTGTGGCCAACTGAGGAAGGACTTTACCATAGTATTGTAGAATGTCTATAACGAATATCTCATGTTATTTTGTAACTAATTTTTACATCTGTTCCTCAGTAACTTCCAAATGGTTGTCAAACCAAGACATGGGCCGTGTTATACATTTAATGGTAGAAACACGACTAGTCAAAATATGAATGTTTCTTCTGTTCGCGTGTCTCGAAATATCGGCACTCTGAGCGGTAAACACTATTTAAATAAATAAAAATGTGTAAAATTATATAAAAATGAAACGCTATTTATTACTTATATTTACAGGTTTAACTCTAGTGTTAAATTTAGAACTAGAAGAATATTTTGACAAAACGAAATCTGTTGGAGCCAGGATTGTTATTCATTCTCCAGACGAATTTCCGGATACAGAAGGTGAAGGAATTAACATTCTACCTGGAGTCGAAACCTCCATTGCTATTAATAAGGTGGGAAAATATGAATGGTTAAATAAAAATAGAATTGTTGTTTACTTTAGAAACTTTATTTCTTATTAGCAAACAACAAAGAGACTGCCTTTCCCGTATAAAGATAGATGCAAAGATTATAAGAAACAAACCATCAGAAATGTATCAATTTTAAACGAAAAGGTACAGTGAATAGCATAAAAATTTACTTTAATTTAGCTATATTAAATTAATAAAAGTTAATATCTTGTCATTAAATTTTCAGTTTGAGTTTTTTCCCTCCTTAAATATTAATTAAAAAGTTGTGCAGAAAATTTTCTTTTAATATTCTCATTTCCTGCACAAGAATTATCTATTTTTTTATAATTTAAAACAGATTAATACTGACAATAATAATAAAATTATATTAGTATTTTATATAAATGAATTGTATTTTAATATTTAGGATTGCATAATTCATTGTCTGCAAGATCTCAATATTCAGAGATGTAATTGTACCGATCCAACTCTCATTTTCAAAAAGAAAAGACAGAAATGCGATTTAGAAAATAACGAAGAAGGTTTAGTATTTTATTACGAAATTTTATGTTAATGATACATTGTTTTCTTAAGAACTGCCGTCCAGATAACCATATGGAAGGTGCTTCCAGAAATCCAATTGTTTATCTGAGTATAATCCTCATAACGTATTATTTATTAAGTTCATATTCTGTTCTATATAAATCGAAACTTTAACACTTGAAAGTTATTATTTTAAGTTATAAAATCAAGCAATAAAACTAAATCTAAAATGATAATATAATATTTTTATATGCAAATGAATATGAAACAAAGATTCTTTTCTTTGTTTCAAACTTCTATTTTTAATATTCTCTTTTAAATTGAAAATGATATTAATAAAACAACATAAAATAATCAAAGGTTATTGTTTCATTGTTTAAATCAACGGGTATAAAGCATTTAATAGATAGCCGGATGGCCGAAGCTCCAGCCTTAGTGGTCTGGGATTCTGGGCGATCCAAGATTGAATTCAAGCGGTCGAAAATCCCCAGAAATTTTTTAAGGTAGTTTGTCCCTAATATGGTTGGTCTCATCCCTTGCCACTCGGCGGCCCCACTGTGGATCTGGCCGAACCAATAATGAATATACTAAAAGGCTCATTGAATTCGACCATAATGATGGAAACGCCCTGTGCCCATTTATGTCTTTGGCATAAGTGCCCACAGAGCGGAGAGAGCGAGGGAAAACATTTAATAAACGAGGTGCAATGGAAGGCGAGTCCCTCCTAAAAAGAATTTCAGAAAAACCAAAAAATTGTCAAATTTTAATAAAATGAATAAAAGCAGCATATGCTTACTTACTGTTTTATAAGGCTTAAATAGCAGTATTTATAAGTTATTATTATAAATTTTATAATGGAAAACTAGAAACAATTTCTGCCTTTCTACTACTATTAAATGTTCTTATATTCTTAAGATAATATTTTAAAAATATCTGCTACAGTAATATTTATAGCATAATGAATATACGAATTCTTAAATGTATTTTAAACTTGCATTTTGCCAATTAGTCTAGCTGAAGATATTCTTTATTCAACCACCCCTTCAAGATGGCAATAAACAGTTATAAATATTTATAGAAGTGTTTTTGCAAAACTTTCAATTTATAAATAACGGTATATTATATTTTCAGTGTGTTGCCTTGATAAAGTATTTGAAGAAATGTCTTCTCTAAATTTTGAGACGTGTGATTGTCGTGTTTCCTGTTCGTGAGTAGATCATCATTATATTATTATATATACTACTAGCTGCAAGGACCCGCTTCGCTGGGTTTTTATTTGTATGTAATAGTATAGTTTTTTTATATATATAAAAGATTGTTTTTCTAAGTAATCTAGAATTTTGCTGCAAGGACCCACTTNCTTCAATATTGGGAATCGATGAATCAACGTGGATTATCAATCAGTGTACCATTAAACGATATTAAAATATTTTAAAAACAATTATAGAGTGGCTAAGGAGTTTATTAAGTTTTATTTATAACACCCATCAGGGTCCATTCTGTCACTGGTAGAACTTATCTTCACCTCATCATCACTGAACATTGGTGGTTACCAGTGTTAAGTGGTAATGAAATAATGATGAGGCCCGTTGATGAGGTTGCGGATTCACGACTCATCAATGGGGTGATAACGTGAACTTTCCGGGCTTTGTTCGGATAATAGGAGCCATTTTCCCATATAAAGTTCTCTCGTGAGGCCACTAGCATGATGGATCGCAGTAAACAAAATAGAATCCCGAAGGATCAGATTGGATTTATTAAATACATTTGCTTGCCGTGTTTCGAATTAGTTGCACATTGTCTTCCCAAAACAGAACCTATTCTACTAGGTGCGAACAATCTCTTCAATATTGGGAATCGATGAATCAACGTGGATTATCAATCAGTGTACCATTAAACGATATTAAAATATTTTAAAAACAATTATAGAGTGGCTAAGGAGTTTATTAAGTTTTATTTATAACACCCATCAGGGTCCATTCTGTCACTGGTAGAACTTATCTTCACCTCATCATCACTGAACATTGGTGGTTACCAGTGTTAAGTGGTAATGAAATAATGATGATGCCACAGAGCGGAAAGAGCGAGGGAAAGCATTTAATAAACGAGGTGCAATGGGAGACGAGTCCCTCCTAAAAATAATTTCAGAAAAACCAAAAAGTTGTCAAATTTTAATAAAATGAATAAAAGCAGCACATTCTTACTGTTTTTTTTTAAGGCTTGAATAGCAGTATTTAAAAGTTATTATTATAAATTTTATAATGGAAAACTGGAAACAATTTCTGCCTTTCTACTACTATTAAATGTTCTTATATTCTTAAGATAATATTTTAAAAATATCTGCTAGAGTAATATTTATAGCATAATGAATATACGAATTCTTAAATGTATTTTAAACTTGCATTTTGCCAATTAGTCTAGCTGAAGATATTCTTTATTCAACCACCCCTTCAAGATGGCAATAAACAGTTATAAATATTTATAGAAGTGTTTTTGCAAAACTTTCAATTTATAAATAACGGTATATTATATTTTCAGTGTGTTGCCTTGATAAAGTATTTGAAGAAATGTCTTCTCTAAATTTTGAGACGTGTGATTGTCGTGTTTCCTGTTCGTGAGTAGATCATCATTATATTATTATATATACTATATAACTTCAATACATAAGCAAATCAATATTTTTTTTACAATTTTAACCTCCCTTATCTGGAACAATGTAAACTAATATAGAATTAACTAAAAATCATATTTTCTATAATCATGTTAAAACGTAGTATATATAACATATCCTTAAACGTTTTGTCATTAATATAGTCCGGGCAGAGAAAGAGTAGACACGAGTCAGCCTGAGCTGGAAAGATCTATTTCACATGAAAGGGATGAAAGGAAACAAGTGGGAGTTGACACATTAATTACAGTAATAAAATTTGTATGAAAAAAGTAAAATGTTAAAATTATGATAATAAAGATAGTATAAAAATGCTTTTAAAATGTAAAAAGAACAAAACAACCAAAAGAGATCATCAGATCTACGTGTCAACATCTACGTATCTCCTATCCCTTTCATCTAACAGGCTGACTCGTGGCTTGCCCATATCAGTACATCATACTTTTCCTGTTAGTAACAGAGTCATGCCGTCATCTATCTAATTCCTCACAGGGGAAATTTTGGATTTCGGTTTCGGAAATTCGGTTTGCATCACAGGTTTATATTCAGTTAATTAATCGGAGCCTTGTGTCCTAAGCTTTCCATATCTGTTTTCAGCTTTTATCTATATAACTCATTTCTGAGATTAAGGCAGAGGGACGGACGACAGTGGGAATTTATAGGTCTACAATTTTTTCAAATTGCAGCCTAATTAGATATCTTTTCTGACCTTTCCTTAATTTAGAAAGGTGGAATTCCCTCCTCTTTCCTTCTTCCTTTCCTCATTCTCTTTTCCTTGACAGAGAACTGAGCAATGGACTTTAGATGTTATCCGTATTAAAATTTTTTCTATATAATTTTTCACGTTTATTTTATACGTTTAGGCCTATACATTAGTACTATATATTTCATTAACATTTCTTAATAACTAAGAAATAAAGATAAACAGTTTAATATATATTTTGTTGTTCGGTGGCCATTTATATTCTGAACGCTTACAGACGGTTCTATATCAAATATTTTATTTATTTCATTTCACTTGTTTTATACAGTAAAATCTTGTCAATTCGAGGAAAGAAAATTCGGATTTAGACTTAAACAGTTTGATTTAACTTGTGAATCTGTATGTTGGACGATCGGGGAAAGAAAATGACTTCGCGTTATCCCGGTTAAACAGGTTCCACTGTAATTATTATACATCTACTAAAGTAATATTATATATCTACTAAAGTAATGCTAAAATAAAACGAAAAAAGGAGTTAACTTATTATTTACTGGTATCATGTTTTCAATGGTACTTTATGGACTACTTTCGTTCTAGCAATTGCTTGAGGGATACCATTTTGCGTAAATACTTTTAAATTAACTGCCTCTTGAAACATATTAACAAAAAGTACTTTGTAAACTAAATTGTATTCTTGTTTTCCAGTTAAATGATTAAGCGACAATTGAAACTAGTATCCTGAGATCGAATTCGAATATGTCAGGCCAGCTTTTCATCACCCAAATGTATATAACTTGTTGTACCCGGCAAAGCGTTGCTGTGGCTCAAAATGTATCTATTACAAATGTATAATACTCCCCGCGGGAAGGAATTTCGAAAAATCCCTTCTTAATGTACATTCACTTGACGTNAGTAGACACGAGTCAGCCTGAGCTGGAAAGATCTATTTCGCATGAAAGGGATGAAAGGAAACAAGTGGAAGTTGACACATTAATTACAGTAATAAAATTTGTATGAAAAAAGTAAAACGTTAAAATTATGGTAAAGATAGTATAGAAATGTTTTAAAAATATAAAAAGAACAAAACAGCCGAAAGAATCAGATCCACGTGTCAACATCTACGTGTCTTCTATCCCTTTCATCTAACAGGCTGATTCGTGGCTTGCCCCTATACAGTACTGTACATCATACTTTTCCTGTTAGCAACAGAATCATGCCGTCATCTATCTAATTTCTTACAGGGAAAATTTTTGGATTGAAATAACGTGACTTTCGGTTTTCATCAGAGGTTTATATTCAGTTAATCGGAGCCTTGTGTCCTAAGCTTTCCATATCTGTTTTCAGCTTTTATCTATATAACTCATTTCTGAGATTAATATGAATTTCTGCTATAAGGGGTACGCGAGTTTGAACTCTTTCTTGAAGTCGTACGCAGGAAAAACTAATTGGGAACCACTGGTCTACAGGGAGGCCTTCCGGAAGGTCTTTTTTTTCTTTTTTAAGAGAAACTGGCCCCTATTTACGCGTTACAGACGTGGAGAAAACCCGGAAAACTCCACGTGGCCAGCCCGTCCGAGCGAGGCGCGAACCCACGACCGCATGACCAAACTCCAACTGTTCAGGATACGAAGACCGCTTGGCCACTGGTGGGTTAAAAATTCCGAGAATAATGTACAGTAGAGCCTCGANGTACATTCACTTGACGTACTCTATTAAAACGCGAAAAACCGCATCTAAAATAGTATAATAGAAGCCGAGTTCTTCACGGTAAGCCTTAATTTTGTCCTCTCTTCTGCGGGGGGGTGGGATTTCGACATCTATATAATATACAAGTTCGGACACGTGCACTGCGTATCTCGTCGACCAGACAACTGCGCCACGCGGTTACCTATCTTGTATACGTACGCGTCTTGCCCCTCGCCACCCGCTGACACTAAAAATATAACTCTTACCTAGACGATAGAGGAGAAGGTGGTATTATGGAACACTGCGGGTATTATGGAACCACCCCATTTCGAACTGATAATAAAGGCGAACTGTAGCGGAATGTGGCCGAACTGAACTAGGCAGACATCCATAGCAAGGGGAAAACCCGTTTTACTTCAGTTAAACGGTTGTCCGTATTTAATCAGCAAATTTGTTTTTTTCAAAATTCGCAAGTTTTGAATGCTAAGTGAATTTAATTATTTTTAAAATATAAATCGTGTAGTTGTAGGTTCACTGGTGCATGTATTCCGTTCCAGAGACTTAGGGGTACATATTAATCTGTGTGATGTTCACGTTTTTTAAATTTTGGTCTTGACAGACATAAGTTAATTCGAGATGGCGATGCGTGAAATACGGACCCCATTGGTGCTTTTACAGTAATATGGAACTCAACTCCTCCGAACTTTCTATTTGCAAGCAGACATTCGTCCAGAGCAATTTGTGAAAAAGACACTAGGTAGAAAGCCAATTCTTCCTGAGAATATCGAAAAAGAGCTGCTGGAATATATATTGTTGATGGAGGTCATATTTTTCTATTATAAAAGCATTTTTGCGATAAAATACATTGGAGTAAATAATTTTGTAATTATTTAACATTTTTTGTCCTTTCCTATTTGTTTTTGGCTACATTAAAGCATTTTTTTGAAAATATACAGTAAGGTTCCATATTACCACCCGATTTTCTCTAAGCCTACTTTCGGACTTTTTGTACAAAAGCCTTCAAAAACCATACTTATAATTACACTAGCGAAAAATCCAATTAGGAACATTTAGTTTACTAGTTACCGGCACTTTTCGCATAAAATCTGTGGGTGTAGTTATGATACCTTGTTTACAATTCACTAAAATGTAATTGGGGTTCCATAATACCACCTTCTCCTCTATATTTTAATTTATATGAATGTTTAACGAAATAATATACAGCCTATGTCCACCCTGAAAGTTCATTTTAAATATTGGTGAAAGAATTTTTAAAATCGGATGAATAATTTCGAAGATTACCTCTTACATCCAAACTTACATACAGTATTTTACTTTATTACTTTAATCTTTATGAAGGATGTTTATATTGAATATTTCATTAAATAATAGAAAAAAATGTTTTATTTAATTATCTTTTACAGAATAACAAATTACGAAATGACAACATCTATGTCTCTTTGGCCTTCTCCCGAAGAATTTCAGGTAATAACAATTTTTTATTTATGTAATAGAAAAAATTTCATTCAAATTTTAAAAAAAAATGTGTTTTATTTACAGTACAATTATCAATATTATGGATTTAACTATTCTTCATTCCGGTAAGCAACTTTTTATGATAATTTCATATAGTTTTATTTTAATGGAAGAAGTCTATAATGATAGTTTGCAATATATCTTTAGGAATACGTATGCTAAATTGAATGTATATTATGCCACTTTAGAAGAAACTATTTATGCCCAAAGACCAGTTTACCAGGTAGAGATTATTCAATAATTACTTATAATTTGAAAATTTTTACGCTTATACTCGTATTTTAATATTTTCTTGAAAACTTTCTAGAATAGCGAATGGTACAGTCATTTGGGAGGACAGCTTGGCCTGTGGTTAGGAATCTCACTTCCAGCAATTTTCGATTGTATTGAAACTATAGTGTTATTAATTCATCATGCCATTATAACACATACTCGAAAATCTAGTAGTAAAGAATAATTATATAGATTTATTTATTGCAGTAATTTTTATATCATTTTTATAAAAATTTTATTTAATACAGTTAGAATCACTGTATTATAGAATAAATAATTTTAAATTACATGATTGATAATACAGTAATAATTGTTGATGGTCTTAATTTAAATCAGCATTCAAACTATATAACAATTTGTTTCTTATGGTATAATAAAAGCATTTATATAAGTAAATACTATATTGCAATATATAAATAATTAATATTTTAAATTTAAATTGTTTAAATATACGCTATAAGCGAATGAATTTAATCCCATCAATACTTAGCTAACAATTAAAATGCATACAGTATAACAATATTAAATATAAAAATTTTAATAATATAATTGTAATTATTGTGTTAACAATCATAATTTTAATCTATTATAATTTTTGTTATTATTGATGGAAGAATATGGAAAAAATTGTTAATATAAAACCAAGAAGTAAGAAAGAATTAGTAGCTATCGAAGTGGCCAGTTGGCTTTCCAAAAATAAAACAATTAAGAACGAATTACTAGACACAGCGTTATTGGAATATCTTCAAAATCGCTCGGATTTAGTTGAACAAAATATTAATAGAAACATTAAAAAATATAAGAAATTTCTGGACAACAGGGGCGAATCTACATTACGATCTTTGCCACTGGATAATACAAGTGTTTCATTAAAAACTAATCTGTTGACTTTGATTAAACAACAGGACTTCCAATCAGCTCTTCTAAATGTGTCTTATATACTTAAAGCAGCTGTAAATGCGGACAGTGTAAAAGTTTCATTATTAGATAAAAGTATCTTTAATCCAAATACAGAATACGAAATATTTCGAGGAAGAAGAACGATTAGGTTTTATTTGGTATCAAGTCAAGTCAATATCATAACTATTGTGAGATTAGCCAAGGGTATAGGGTTGATCCTATACCTCTTAAGCCCTGGTCACACTATGCGATTTCTAGCCGCGCAGGCGACTGCAACTGCAACAAGCGCGAGTCTTCTCGTGGTCACACATTGTTCGTTGACGTTGCAACTCGGAAACACGTGACCCTATAATAAACCAATAAAATTACAGTAGCTTGTTTTTGACTACTTTCGTGAGTTTGCCGATATTTTACGTTCTACTTCAGAGTATTTACGGAATTTTAGCCACTTTTCTTATTAAAATAGCAAGCAGTTCCTTTTCTGGAATGAATAAAAGAAAAAAGGCGATTATTTTAATAGAGCTGGCGAAAATACATGAAAAGATAAAATCTTCGATAAAACGAAGAATTAAAATCCCACAGGTATTCGTGAGCCTNGAACAATTTTTATCGATATAATTATCAACATAATTATGTTTAATAATAGCAATAAGTATAGATATATTTACCTTCGAAGATTATGAGTCTAAAAACGCTCGACAAATTAAAAAAAAAAATAGTTAAATTCCAAAATTTCCTTCCCTCGCTTACAGTAGTGAAGCAGTCGCTAGACCTTGGGCTCGACTACGGATGACGTATATCCGGAATCTGGCAGGAAGTGGCTAAATCGGCTGTATGAGGCAACCTTATAAATCTAAGACCTTGAACGGGAACAGCCGTCGCGGTTGCAGTCGCCTGCGCGGCTGGAAATCGCATAGTGTAACCCCAGGGCTTTACGGGCTCAGATTAACCGAAATCTGTTCTCTGAGTTTCGGATCGAGAGATCCGATCCTAATCAGGATTTTGACCGGGAGGGCTTTTTAATATTAGAGAGGATGTAGACGGCAAAGTCTTTATCCAACGTCAGGAATCGTGACACCAGTTTGTCAATTAAATTCCGCGGACAAACACGCGTGTGAGATCTGATTCAGACACAAATTAAGAGTCATTTCATTTGATAAACAAACAATAGTAAATTTAATAAAACATAAGAAAATAAAAACTAATACAAAATATCAAATGAAGGAATGATATAACTGCTACAATTAAGATACACATCGAGAGAGATACGACCCTATTATAACCGATACAAGATCGAGAGAGAGATTACAATATCGTTATAAAACATACAACCTGGTTTAGTTGTCGTTCGTCTTCTTCTCTGTAGGCAAGGGACACTTCGGAGATAAAGTTCATTTACTTCTTTCCATGGGGGAATCGATATGTGCACCAAATCAAAGTAAATTTTCTAAATGTTAACACCGGGATTACTCTATGTGACTCGTCTATGGGCGTTGGTCACCAGGAGGAAAACATGTGGAGTCCGGACACTTCCAGGTCTGTCGATGAACTCCCCGAATTCTAACAAATTTCCCCTATATCTCATGATTTACGACCAATCATCTGCCAGAGACTCTTTCATGTGAACGGATGAAAGGGGAATCAAAGAGGGGTGGACAGTTCCCATCTGAGCGAGATTTTTAGCGGATAAGGGAAAAACAGAGGATGTACTAACTTCCCTCGAAGGAAGTAACATCTGTTATCTATTTTTTCCCATGTTGGAAAACGTTAATTTCTCACCAAAATGAAATAATATTTTATGACAATATTTAACATTATCAATAAAATTACTATTTTAGACCCGGGGGCCTTTCAGATCTCACACTATGAATAGGTTAAATAAAAGTCTGCCATTTTCAACTATAGAGGAAGAAATTGCTACATTTTTTATAAATAGAGTTAATTCGTGTTTAAATTTGTATAGAAGAAATAAAGAACAAATCAACAATGAAAACATAAAAACAAATGACAGCTCTGCTAAGTGATAAAGAATTGACTCGAAGTATTATTATAGATTTTGAAACAGATTCGAGAGATGATATCAGCCGATCGAGCCAATTTATACGTGGCAAACGATAAAAGAAACGAATTTATTCCAGAGTACTTTGACTTTGGTGAGAATTATGTTAGATCGGATATAAAATATCCTTTAGGTAAAGGATATTGTGGAACTGCTGCTCTTAAACAAGATAATTCATTCCACATCCGACAACGAAATATTAGAAATAATGGGAATCAATCCTCCAAATGTTATCTCTTATTTAATAGAAGTCAATAATGAAATTTTAGGAGTTCTTCAATTATTACGATTCAAACAGACACCTTTTACAATTATTGACGAGAAAGAAATGGAATTTTTTGTTTATTTATCTATCATTTATATTGTCCATAACAAATACTCATCATCAAATTGAAATTAAAGATAATCTCCTGAAAGTAGCCTCGGAAAAACTCAAATATCATACAGAAGTTAGGGAGGAAGAGTTATGGAAATTAATCAGAAATCCTCAATTAGATATAACACCAATGGATTTAGTTAATATTAAATTTCCTTTTACTGAATATAGTCCACAGCAATTTCCAAAGATTATAATTTATCTACTAGGACAACTCTTAGAAGAAGATAATTTTCCTCTTGACAAAATCTGCCATTTTGTTTTAACCCTTAGTCGACACTATCGGGACGTGCCTTATCATAATATATATCATGCGTTCAACGTTACACATTGCATGTACTTGATGCTTAAAGATGTCAAAACTGAAATACCCAAATTAGAAATCAAAACACTGATGAACGCTTCTATCTGCCACGACTTAGACCATAGAGGATTTGATAACAATTATCTAAAATTAATTAAATCCCCACTAGCAAATCTATATTCTGTGTCCATATTGGAACAGCACCATTATACTATAACTGTTTCACTTCTACAAGATTCTAAAAGCAATATATTTTGTGATCTTTCTGCAGAGCAATTTAAGTTTGTTCTGGAGGATCTGGAAACATTAATTTTGGCCACAGATCTTACAAACAGTTTAACGAAAACAAAGAAAATCTTCATTCGCTCATACAAAATTCCATATTTCGATTAAGTAACGAAGAGCATCGTAGACATTTGAAAAAAGTAATGATAACAGGATGCGACATATCTTCTAATTGCAAACCGATATCAATACTAGTTGCTACAGTAAAAAATTTATAACACAAGAGTTTTATACTCAGGGAGACGAATTAAAGAAAATGAATATACAACCCACTAGCATGATGGATCGCAGTAAACAAAATAGAATCCCGAAGGATCAGATTGGATTTATTAAATACTGTACATTTGCTTCCCGTGTTTCGAATTAGTTGCACATTGTCTTCCCAAAACAGAACCTATTCTACTACGGTGCGAACAATCGCTTCAATATTGGGAATCGATGAATCAACGTGGATTATCAATCAGTGTACCATTAAACGATATTAAAATATTTTAAAAACAATTATAGAGTGGCTAAGGTGTTTATTAAGTTTTATTTATAACACCCATCAGGGTCCACTCTTGTCACTGGTAGAACTCATCTTCACCTCATCATCACTAAACATTGGTGGTTACCAGTAGTAAAGTTCAAAACCACACCACATACGCCGATTAAATTCAAAACTTATACAGTATATATATACTAGCAGGTGGGCCCGGCGTTGCTCGGGCAAAAGTAACGATAGCGAAGATTAAGATTATTAAGTTACGTTATAGTCAACCTTACCCGTTTTCACAGAATGCAAAAATTGGATCCCCCGTTTCCAGACTAATTAGAGAATTTTTACATGGGTCTAAAAATATCTTCAATTTCCTGCAAAAACGAAAACCAATTGCACTTTCTTTTAAAACGTCGCTTTCTCTTAACAATTCCATTGTTACGTAACTCGTCCATTGTTGACACTTTCATTGTTACTTAACACTTCTATTGTTGATGGAAGTGTTAAGCTTAATCTCTTCCCCCAGGGGGGCATTTCGAAAAATCCTTTCTTAGTGTGTGTTTTCGTGACGTACCCTAACTGTGTACCAAATTTCAGCTTCCAACTCCTTAAGCTTTCCATATCTGTTTTCAGCTTTTATCTATATAACTCATTTCTGAGATTAATATGAATTTCTGCTATAAGGGGTACGCGAGTTTGAACTCTTTCTTGAAGTCGTACGCAGGAAAAACTAATTGGGAACCACTGGTCTACAGGGAGGCCTTCCGGAAGGTCTTTTTTTTCTTTTTTAAGAGAAACTGGCCCCTATTTACGCGTTACAGACGTGGAGAAAACCCGGAAAACTCCACGTGGCCAGCCCGTCCGAGCGAGGCGCGAACCCACGACCGCATGACCAAACTCCAACTGTTCAGGATACGAAGACCGCTTGGCCACTGGTGGGTTAAAAATTCCGAGAATAATGTACAGTAGAGCCTCGATTATCCGACCTAATTGGGGACTGGGGTTGGTCGGATAATTGAAAGGGCGGATAACCGAAAAGTATGAAAAAATCTATTATTAGTGTAGTATATTATTATATCCCATGTAATTAGTATATTAGTATATCGCTATTAACCTACTTTGCGTTGAATTTTCATCGATGTTAAGCCTAACAAAAATTTTTTAA